AGTTTTTAGTTTTTATTTTAGTTAGTAGTACGTGTGTGTATATATATATATATATATATATATATATATATATATATATATATATAGGAAAAAACTGGGGTTAAACCACTAGCTCACATGAATATATGAGCCCAACGGTCCAGATTGAATCTGGGCCAATCTAACCATCACCGATGTCTGATAATGCTTGTATTTAATTTATTTTTTATAAATCCAAATCACTTGAAATTTTAGGAATGTGTTCTTCTCATCAAGGCACACATAAAAAAAATTTATTTGTAAAAATAAAAATAACCAAAATACCCCCTAAAACATTTCAGGGGTATTTTGATCAATTTATTTTATGTAAAATATTTTTTTAATAGTTTTTCGAAGATTCACCTATTTTTAATTAACACACACCTAAAATTTCAATTGATTTGGATTTGTAAAAAAAAACAAAATATTCAAACACTTTCGGACATCCATGATCGTCAGATCGGCCCAGATTCAATCTGGATTGTTGGGCTCATATGTTCATATGAGCTAGTGGGCTAACCCTAACTTTTTCGATCCAAATCTTCGGACCAAGGGATAATTTTGAAAAATGAAAAAAAGTGGTTGACCGACCTTCTTTGTAATTTTTACCCATAAATAGAGCATTTCATATTTTAGAAACAAATTTAAGTTCTATACATAAATCACTAGAACCCTAATGACCCACTTAAATAAGAAACTGACCATGAGAGAGAGTATACCTTATTCAAGTTCCATATCTTGAGCATGGTGCGTCCATTGTGGAGAGGGTCCTCGAACAAGCAATCCCTAGTTGGAAGCGCAAAGTAGTCACAACGAAGGATGGAGCCATCAGGCAATGCTAGGGTCTTGATGAGCTCCAAGTTATGCTTCCCAACCGAGTCACTCACATAGATCGGCCCACCCGAGATGGCGCGTGATGCAGCATGGAAGGTGGCGCAGGGGTGCGTCGACTGGAACATGTCCCAGTCTGGATGTATGAATTGCCCCATCCACAGACTATTGTAAGCACAGTGCACCATGTGACAGCCCTGGAGCCAGAACGTCCCATTTGGATCCCCTGATGGATCAGTGCACCAAAAATCGTCTCCTGCGATGATTTCACGATTTTAGTGGTTGATTCATAACTATGTTTATAGGGAACACCCTAGCATGAGCATATAACATAGATTAAGCATTCATGACCGATGATATGACCCTTGATAGAGCGAAATGGTGAAACATGATTCGTGTAGCTAATCCCAAATAGTTTGGATAAGTCTCGGATGATAATTATAATTAATAAATATAGTGATTTACATATGGACCCTAAATTTTTTTTTAAAATATGAAATGCTCTATTTACAAAGAAGATCGGTCAACCCACATTTTTTATTTTTTTCAAAATTGCCCCTCAGTCTAAGAATGGAATCCTGGGTCCAAATTGTAATTTTTTTTAGGTTTTTTCATTAGCATGGCAATGCTCCAAGCTTTAAGGTAGTACCCTACTAATGAAAAAACTAAAAATAAAATAAAATTCGGTCCGAGGATTTTCTAGGATCAAGGGGCAATTTTGAAAAAAAAAAAAAAAAAGAAGCAGATTGACCAATATTCTTTGTAATTTCCACCTATAAATGAAGCATTTCGTATTTTATAAAAAAAAATTAAGATCCGTACGTAAATCACTCTAATAAACTATTATTTTTATTCATAATATATAGTCATGTGTGTATACTATTAACCCAATATATTGTATGTATCTAAGCATTTTATGTGTAGATTTACACTTGTGTGATATCTATTAGTATGTTGTATAGATCTCTATGTATGTATGTATGTATGCATGGAACTCACCAACACGGCCTAGGGAGATGGTTTGGGTGCCAAGGAACATGAAATCGTTGCAGTGTTCCATGCTTGCTATGACTCCATTGCCCTTGAAGTGCCTCTCAACAGAATCACTGATAGCTTTATAGTAAGCCTTGCCAAGTTCAACTCTTCCCCCATAATCTTCACATAACATCTCCAGTAGCTGAAAATTTCCCATTAACCAATGGTCATAAAAGAATACTGGAGATACATGACAAATTCGAATTTTAAAGACATTTTTATGCAAGCAAGGATGATTATCTCTTTAATACCTTTAATAAAAGTGTTTGCTATTGTTTTGAATTTTGGGTAATTTACAGAGACCCCCCCATTCATGGGTGAGAAAACGATGGTAGTGGCAGTGGATTCTGGTGGATAAGGAGAATTTTGGCCATTATAAATGGGTGTCGGCATCGAATGAGCGATGAATACGTAATTTTGACAATGGGTATGATTCAAAAATACTAATAGTACAGCTTTCACAATGGGTATGACTGAAAAATATTAATAGTACAGATTTCACAAATATTAGTCTTTTTTTTTTTTTCCTCTCTCTAAGATCCTTTTTTTTCTTTTTTAATTTTTTTTTTTTGCATTGAAGATCCTTACCCATAAAATTTATCCCCGGAAGTATACCATAAGGTAAGTTACCTTTAGTACGAGGCATTGTTTGCAAAATCCGGGGGGTCAACTTGGACCCACCTGGGTAACATGCAACCGCCCCCCCCCCCCCACCATTGTGCAGGTCAAGCCCAGTTTTGGTAGTCAAGCCCCGGGTCTTAAAAAACATTCAATTTTTTTTTTTTTTAAATATATTTGTAATGTTTTTTGTGTTTTCTATCATTTTGACAAAGATTTGAAAGTGTTTAGGCCATTAGTATTCATTTTTACATTTTTCCTTCTTTTCTGAATTATTTATAAAGTACCTTGGCCGTAAATTGATTTTTCAAAATCTACTTTTTCACTATTTTTTAGCCTCATTTAGATGTGTTCTCTTTAATTTTACTTCAAATATATTTTGCATAGCTTTTTGGATTTTTTAATTTTTTTAACACTTTTTGGCCTAGCCGGTACCTACCCGATCCAATCCGAGACCCGATCCGAGTTACTTGGGCATGCCCAAGGCCGAGTACCATGTCCAAGTCGTGGTTTCTTGTAACGAGGTCACAAATACCATTAAGCATATCAATGTGTGCTTTTAACCAGGCTCAAAGTCTGAAAAAATGTTTCTCAATCTATGCAGCACACTTAAGCCCTTCATCTACGACATAAAGACTATGGCCATATCAAATATAACTAGCTTATACGATAAATATCTTCCGAACTCTTTGTGGATTTTACTAGAGAATGAGAATAACAAAGATTTTTTTAAAATTTCCCTTATCCTCTTTTCTCACAGTTCAAGCGATCAATAGTGAAAATAGTATGATAGGGCTGGAGCCCTATCAAAATAAGTGAAGTCTCACCTCATAACTCATAAAAATTATAATTCAAGTGTTGAAAAAGCTTTAAATTAATCATCATAACCCATAAAAATTATAATTCAAGTGTTGAAAAAGCTTTAAATTGATCAGCTCGAACATTATGGTTGCAAAAAAAAATTAGGACTTTAAGTTCTAAAAATAGTGTATATTCCAATAAATTAGGTAGATCATTTATTTCTTCTTAAAAAGAAGTACTAACAAATCTGCAAGATCTATACTCTTTTTTTAATTTTAAAATTTATCAGTCGGATGGAAATTGATTTTAGAGCGGTCAAGATTTCCTATGCCTTCTTAGATGAAGATTTGAGGTCCTATACGGACTAGACTGTCTTTGAAAAAGGGCCAGGCCAATAGCTGCTGTTCATTGACCGTTGACACCTCATACGAGTCTTGAGATTTTTAGAATCTAAACAAGGTCATAAAGGCATTTTTCATGAAGTAAGGTTCCAAAAAGACAAAAAAACCAACTCACGTGCAGCGCGAGCACTACACATCATGTCACTAGAAGGGTGACGGGTCAAGCCTAAAGTAAAACTTTATGCTTATACCTTCAACTTTGAACAGATAGAAAGACATAACGTGGATACCGTTTACAGCGACACGTATAGAGAGAGAAATTCAGGACTAACAATGAGTCGGGCGGAGTGGCCTTAAAACAAGTAGGACTTTGGTAACGGGTTACGTGGCCTGTAACTAAAAAAAAATAGGACTTCGCCGGCTTGATGGCCAGTGCTTTGCGCTCGACTTCATGCGACTCTTTTTATCTTTTTTATTTTCCTTTTTAGATTATTTTTTGAGTGATTTACGTATGGACTTTAAAATTTTAAATAAAATATAAAATATTTATATATTAAAATTACAAAAAAGGTCGGTCAACTTATTTTTTAAATTTTTTTCTAAAATTGCTCTTAAGTTAACCTGAATTTTGATTTTTTAAATATTTTTTAGTTGTTTTTATCAGTAGAACAGTGCCTCAAGCTTAAAAAGCAAAATTCAAGTTGCTTGAAAGACAATTTTGTAAGAAAAAAAAAAAATCAGCTAATCGACTTTCTTTAGAATTTCCGCATTCAGCATTTCATATTTTAACTAAAATTATAGGATTCATACATAAATCGCTCTTTTTATTTTCATTTGTTTTTTTCCCAACGCTGGGCCTTGACTCGTTGTTAGAGAGAGACACTTACGTGAATGACGTCCACCTTGACACCATCAATGCCAACGGAGGCCAAATGGGAGTGCAGGCCCTCGTAGAGCTCGTGGGCCCTCTGAGGGGGCACCAGCCCCACACCGTTGTTCACTATCTTGTCCACGGCAAGGTCCTCCATGGTCATCTCGAGCCCTGGTGTGAGCTTGGGTGCGATGATCCTGGACCCGGGCAACCCAGGCACCTCAGGCCTGATCCCACCCCAATACCCACACAGAGCATGCCACACATAAACATGCTCAACGCTCTTGAACTCGCCCTTCAAGTCCTTAATGAAGGCCCCCATCCCCACATCGTCAGGGTTCTTCTTGCTCTCATAATCCCTGAATTTGTAGTTCTCCTGGAATTTTATGAGCCTGCACGGCATCTGCTCCCCTGCGGCAGTCCTGTTCATCCCCTCCTGGTCGGTGATGGGGTCGTCGTCGTGGCAAATGGACTGCCAGCCATCGTCGATGAGGACGAGGCCCGGAGGGCAGCCCCCTTCGACCAGGCCCTCGACGCCTTCCCAGACTCCCTCTGGGTGCACGTTCAGATAGAATGCGTCCCAGGTGCACCACCCGAATTTGTCGATGATTCCTGGAGGAGTCTTCTCCTCCAGGAGTCGGAAGGTCCCGAGGTGTAACCTCACGGCCTTCATGGCATCCCGGACGAGGTCGAATGGGTCGTCTCCTGCCTGTATGAATAAGGAGCTCCTAAAACAGGAGGCTTTAACCTGTCTTGACCCGCTCTCGACACAGAGGTCCACATTGTCATCCTCCCCCGGTTGGAGCGCGGCCCTGAATTCCTTTTCGATGAGGGGTAGGAGGAGGACGTATGGCCGAGACGAGCATGAACATGCCGAGCAAGATGGATGGGAGCGGTCGAGGATCACGAGCTGTGTCTCGTGCTCCATGTCCTTCCCTTTGTCTCCGATCCAGTGTGTGGTCCACCACACCTTGAATCGAAAGATGCTCATGAACCTTATGCCCCTCAGCTTCCCAATGGGAGCCGCGTGCCAGCTCTTCGGCTCCTCCGCATCGAAGCCCACGAACACTCCGGCTTTCTCGATGCCCTTCTCTGAGCAGAGAGAATGGTAGGGAGTGAGGACGACGTTGGGAGGGACTTCAGTGAGGAAGGTGTGGCCGGAGACCGAGAACTCTCCGCCGTGTAGGGTTACGGCATGTTTGTTGTCAGGGAAGGCCGCTAGGGCGTCAGGCGTGCCCTTGATCAAGCTAGGGGCCATGCCTGGCGCTTAAGTGCTCAAGCAACGGTTTGCAGCACCAGTGCTTGAATACAAGGGTGTTTTAGAATGTTGCAGTGAATGCCTCTCCCTCTCTCTCTCTCTCTCTCTAGAATATTGTACTCAATTGCTCTCTCTCTCTCACACACAAATAACGAGATTTTGCTAACTAAAATGACTAGGAGTTTCTCTCTCTAGATTACTCTCAAAGCAAATTCTCTCAACAGATCAAAGAATATAAAATCTCTCTCTTTTTTTCTCTCTCTATGAGATACTAAGACAGGAGGGATCACAGGTTTTTATAGGAGGAAGGAAGAGGGGAAGGAATATCCTCGGGTCCATCATCTTTTAAAGGCGCGCTTCAGGTTGGTCCCTCCCTGCGTCGTCTTCTCCTTTTCGAAGACCGAGAATATGCTTTATTTATTGGGATGGTGGAAGCTAATTTATCAGTTGTAGAGAGAGGTTATAATCTATTCTACTCATTAGATTCAAATTGGATGGTTTGGGATAAGTTACAAAATTTGACAATTATTTTTTGAATTTTGTATCTGGTCAAAAATACTCTTACAACTACCCATTTTGAATTTTAAAAGATAAAAATGATCATGACCTCCATATACAAAAGATACATGATATGATCTCTTTTGTAGACATTCCTTTATTTATTTGAGTGAATTATGCACGGATAATAAAAACTACTAAAATATGAAATGAGTCAATTTTTGGGTTAAAATTACAAAAAGGTCAGTCAACTAGAGATTTTCTATTTTTTCCAAAATTGCCCCACTTTTTTTTTAGTTTTTTCGATAGTAAGGATGTACCTTAATGTTTGGGGCAATGCCCAGTCGGTCTGATGTTAGTATCATCAGACTGCCTTCTATGGTTCTCTTCAAAGTTGTCCGAGGTTGGCATTCTCGGACCGCAAAGGCTGACTTTCTTAAACATTTAGAGACAGTTTGAGCTACCCATTCTCGGATTGCCTACTCTAGTGCTCTTTAGGACGGTTTGAGGTTCATTCTCAAACTGCATTAGCTCATTTATTTGTTAAGAAATAAAACGGTCCTAGGATGCTAACCTCGGACTACCTTCTTGACTAGGCACAACCCCTTGCACTAGGGCAGTGCCATATTAATGAAAATATTACAAAAAATAAAAGTAAAAAGCAATCTGAGGATGCCACTGAGGGGCAATTTTGAAAAAGATGAAAATACACATGTTGATTGATTTTCTGCATAATTTTTATCCAAAATTAGCCCATTTCATATTTCCCTTTTTTATGTCCAGTAAATTGCTTCATTCATTTTTGGGATTGTATACAATGAGATCATTTACCTTTGGTACAGAGAGGTCACAATTACTTACAACCATCTGATGGTCAAGATTAATTGTGACCACCTTGTATCAAAGATAAATAGTCTACGTATGTACTTTCTCTTATTTTTTAGGGTTACATGAAAAAATGGGTAGTATCTTCTTCTCATGTTTTTTAGGGTTACATGGAATTTAGGGTTACATGGAAAATGGGTAGTATCTTCTTCTCATGTTTTTTAAGGTTACATGGATAAATAGGTAGTATCTTCTTCTCATGCATTATAGTTGAAAGGCATGGCCATGAATTTTCCTTCACTTTCATTGTTTCGTGGGTATTGATGCTGGATATTAAGGTTCTCCATGGACCCATTTGTAAAGTCCCGAGCTTGGAATCCCATGCCATTGTTTATCTCTGTGAGATAAGCTCTGGCCATTAGAGAGAACGTTGAGAGAGAGAGAGAGAGAGAGAGAGACTTTTCGGCGGGAATCGATCCTACGTCCCCACCTATGAATGAGAGGAATTATGTTTTAGAGAATAAATCCTTTAAACCCCACTTGGTGAGAGCTGGATATGTTTGGTTTTTACAAGAGAGAGGAAGGTATTATTTTCTTACCTAGAGGTACGATGGTGCGTAATTTCATTAAAAGAAAAACGGAAAATTACGTAGAGACACCATTTCACCCCTTTATTAGCATGGGAATATTTTGCCAAAGTTCGAACAAGCAACCCCCATCAGCGGCCTGTTTTTCATGTAATTGCTCATCTGTCTGGTAATATCAACACCGGATAAGAGGGAGACAAGCCACAAGAATAAAAAAAGAGAAAGAATAATTATTTACTTCACTATCTATTTACTCCATCATGCAAAATACATACTAGGGATACTTTTGAGATTTCAAATTTGGGGATATAATCTCCACAATCAATAGAATAATCTCAGCAAAAATAGCTTCTAAAATAAAATCTCTATATATAGAAAAATAATGCCTCAATTGAATAGAGACAGTCCAATTTTTGAAGAGCTGGATTAAAGTTTCACAAAACTCATATTTAAAATTTTTATTTTAAAAATAATCATCCAATAATTGATATATGATTCCTAAAAATTTTGGACTAACAAAATTACATAGCTAGGTATATGTACTGTGTAATTTTTAAAAAAAATATGTGTGATTTTTTTCTTGTTTAGTATTGTCATTGATAGATGGACAGTTATATTAAAAAAAAAAAGAAAAGAAAAGAAAAGAAAATAAAGCAAAAGCGACCGGGGGTGCACATTGTAATTTTTAGCAAAAAAATATTCCCAGACAGTAGTAAAGAGGCAGAAATAGTGTCCCTACGTGATTTTATCGACAAAGCAAAAGGAAGTCTATTAAACTACACACTTGAGAACTCTTTTACATCCTATCCATATATTTTATCATCCAGCATTTTGTCATATTACATTGACTACCTCAAAATAAATATTTTATCATCCACCATTTTGTCATAATGCATTGACCTACACCTCGAAATAAAAAATGGATGGGGTTTCTATGAGTCGGCTGACTCATATGTACATATGTGGTCCCATACTAAAATTTATTTGAAATGATTTTTTCTAACATTTTTTTTGTAGATTCATCATCTAGGCGATGATGATTATAAATATGAAAAGAAAAATAAACTTTCAAAATTAAAAAATAAAAATTAGATGGGTTTCTATGAGTCAGAAGCTCATATGCACATACATATGTGGTCCCCACTAAAATTTATTTTAGATGATGTTTTTTCTAATTTTGTTTTGTAGATTCATCATCTAGGCCATGATGATTATAAATGTGAGAAGCAAAAAAAACATTCAAAATTTAAAATATAATTCTTTAGTTTTTTTTTATGCACCTTCCATATCTAATTTATGGACAATACACTTTGGTAACATCCATATGGAAGCTTGTAAGTAAGCCTGCTCTTATGCCCGCTGACTCGTGAAACAGTTTTCCATAAAAAATGGAGCTTATCATAAGTAGTTTTGATAAATTTAAGAAAACGAGTCAGGGGACTTTTCTCTAGGTTGATTAGAGCCTAGGAAGAAGTGCCATTCACCTTACGAGGACCCTTACATAAAGAAGAATTCATAACGATATACCCCCATTAGATTATTCTTTTTGGGTAGGCCTTCTCCATTAGTTTATTGCAAACGGCCAAAGCCCTTGTTGCTTTATTCCCCTAGTGTACAAAATTATACTTCCCATTTTGGATCTTCCTCACTTTTGGGCTTTTACTTTAGAATCCAATTCCAAGAGGATTTATTTTGATTTTTAACCTACTGTAGAAAAGCTCACAAAAGCACATCCCATAAATACAACGTGGCATCAAAGAATTGGCTCATCCAATTAGTATAGGTCAAAAGTTTGGCAAATTTAAAAAATCTTGACACATGGCACTTTCAAATTCGTCAAGTCCACATGGCGATAGATGGACAAGCCACATGTCGAGGCGCCTAGGGCCATGAGTCATAAACCCATTTGAGAGACTTCTTTTCATTGTCTTGTGCTTCACATGAACCTTCCACACTCTTCAGGTGGAGATGCCCAAGCCTTGAAAAAAGAAACTGCATAGGTGTCTAGCCCTTTAATGAGGGGAGGGTAACGAGCTATTTAATGGGAAATTTAAAATAAAAACAGACTGAACAGATTAAAGCAACAAAACATCGGTTATCTGGTGAGAAATTAAAGTCGTGGGTTCTTTGTTAATAATATAGTTAAATTATAAGATGAGACCATTTATTTTTTATAAAACTATAGATAGAGTATTAGATAAGACCATTTATTTTTAACACAAGTGTCTTTCGAGTGTCAAATCAAACACCTAAAGTGTGTTATTAATTATACATAATCATCATCATCATTGTTATCAGAGTTTTTTTTAACTATTTGGAATCAGCTACATGAATCTTAGTCAGCTGGTCCATATATCTTTTTTCGCTGCTTCCAATATGTCTTTCTGGCCCACTCTTTACTTTTTTTTAGCCTTCTATTTAAACCAACTCGCACCTCCTAACAAGTGATGTACGGGGTCTACACTGCACATGGCTAACCCACCTACTAAGTCTACATTCTCTTATTTTATTCTTTGTTGGAGCCACATCTAAATTCTCTTGAATAAATGTCTATAATGTTTAATAAAAAATTTCTCAAACTTCACAATTCATTTCTAAAATCCAGATTTAAAATCTAATTTCTTGTGCTAAAAATATAACAACCCCTCAGTGTATACAACCCAAAAATATATACTTAATCACACATTATCTATAAGATCTGAAATTAGGAGATGAGCTACTAAAGAGCTAATATTCATAAAAAAAAATTTCTTAATCTCCTTATTTTACATCTAATAGCTAAAAACAATTGTGCTACCATTGCGCAAAAGGTGAATGATCTCGTACTTTACTCCTAGGGACTTTTGATTCTTTGCCTTCACGCAGGAGTAAGGCTATATAAACCAACAACCACACGTAAACCTCTAAACATTCTACAGTTTCTTGGATCTGGACTAAACATGAGTGCAAAATAAATGACTGGCTAAATAAGTAACATGCATATGTTGTCAAAAGAGCTTGCACCATTGATCCAATTGTAGGGCGGCCATACACTTTTGAAGATAAGCCGCACTCAAGTATTTTCAAAGTGGATATTTGACAAGTGTGTAGCAGACCAACAAAAGAACATGCCTAGCAAACCCTAATTTGGAAGGGCATTATTATTTCCAGACCGTACCAGATCTACCTTTTATTTGTAATTTTGGCATTAGAAAGTTACAATTTGGTATCGAAAAACCTTCAAATGAATCATCTCAATCTAGACCCTTATGGTTGTGAAAAAAATAGGTTTTGAAGTCTTAAAAATAGTGTATATTGTAACACATCATCTAGACCGTCTATTTTCAAATGTTCATATACC